CGCTGCGCAGCGACGAGAGCGTCTGGCTGGAGCCCGAGGTTCTCTTCTCGGGGCCGCGCCACGGTAAGCGCCCACGCGGCACCTCGGCCTCCGGCACCGCAGCAGCTCCAGCAAGATGCTAATCCCACGGCGTGTGCCTGTTTTCTCGGTAGCCTTTGAATTTCCACAAATCAACTACAAGAAATATGGTGGGAAACCCTATACCTACTCATACGGCCTCGGCCTGAACCACTTTGTTCCAGACAGGGTAACTATTCACTCTAGAAACATTTAGCTTCAGCACAAGGAAGCATATTTACTGAGATTTTTTTTCCACCCATTTTGTAGCTCTGTAAACTAAATGTTAAAACGAGAGAGACCTGGGTATGGCAAGAACCAGACTCGTACCCGTCAGAACCAATCTTTGTTTCACATCCCGACGCGCTGGAGGAAGATGATGGTAATAACTGCTTTTGGTTTGGTCCTTTAATTACTGAGTGTTTTACCAGTTTGTGTCTCCTGGCCCAGAGTGTGCTGGATGAGCTTACCCAGGCAGGCGCTACCAAGAGGAGCACTATGTGCAGGAGAACTTCCAGATAGCTCCCAGATTACATGTATCCTTATTGCAAACCTGCAGGGAAAATTCTGAAGAGAACATGGAAAAATTAAGACTAAACAAACATAAAGAAAGAAAAGGACCCCTAGGTTGTGATGGTCTGTTGTCCTCGTCTGCCGGCCTTTCTACCAGGTGACACAGTGTTTAAAGAAATCCATGTGGCAGAACTTTTAAAAATTAAATCCCTCTTAAGCCAAGCCTGTTGTTGTTCTTACCCCTCTTGTGTCGGAGGGGAGTGACTTTAGTCTTTGTCACTCGAGGACACACAGTTGGACGCACGCCAGGCACTGCACACAATCCTTCATGCAGCCTCAGCTCAGTACCTATTTTTGAAGGTGAGCAGCAGCCCTTAGACTGAAAGGGCATCCACTTATTCCCTCCGCTCCTCATTTCTGAGCAGGGTTATGTGAAGCTGGGAGAAATCTTGGGTCAGCTGAAGCCACGAGCAAACTCGCAGGTAGATACGGAGCCAGAATTCGGTGCGCTCTGTCCCCAGCTGAGGAAGGTGCTTGTGCAGGGGCTTAAGTCCCCTTGATACTGAAAACATTTCAGTATGTTCTTAGAAACTTTCCTTAAATTAAGACAGAGAACAAGCATTTCAAGAATAAACTTAAGTCCCTTTTACCATTTTTACTACATAGGACTTAAGCCCCTGCCCAAGCACTTTCCAGAATCTAAATCACCCCGAGGTCCCACGCTGCCGTTGCTGCGCTCGTCCTCACAGCTGTGACGCTGTAGGGATTATTCTGTGTGGTTTTTCAGCTCTTGGCTCTGACTCAGGACAGTAGTAGTAGTTCTAGCTCGTGTCTGAGGCAGAAAACAGATGAGTGAAGGGGGCTGACAGAGTCATAGGAGAGAGCCCCTGCGTCATGTTTTTCTGCCAAGACTGACCCAAGAGCACACAAAGGAACAGAAATCCTAAGCTAGAGAGTTCCACCTCTTCCCTATGAACATGGTGGCTCCAGAAACAGGCATGTTGGTGCTCAAGAAGCAGAATCACTCCTTTTCTTCAATTTTTCATGTGGACAATTTTGATTTAAATTCCACTAAATGCCATCTGTCAGAGGCCACTGCAATAGCATTTTAGAGTCGCTTTTCAGACCACAGCCCTACTTCATTCTATGAGTTACGCTGCCCAGCACCCCAGGCTGGCACAAGGAGCGCCAGCAAGAAGTCAAAATGCTACGAAGGGGGAAATAACCAGATCTACTAGGGCCCTGTGTGCAGGAGGTTACTTGCGTTGTGGGCAGTCCAAGTGAAGGACAAGGGGGGACACGGACACAACTCTTCTTTTCTTGCTGCCTAGGGGTCGTGCTGAGCATAGTGATCAGCCCCGGCGTGGGGCCGAAGCCTGCCTACCTGCTGATCCTCAACGCCAAAGACATGAGTGAAGTTGCCAGGGCCGAAGTGGACATAAACATTCCTGTGACTTTCCACGGACTCTTCAAAAGAGCGTGACTGCTGCCAGCAAAGCCCGTCTTCCAGCTTTGAAAGGTGGAGTCACCTAAACTCCTTCAGTATTTATTTGCATAATTGTTTCAATTTCCTTGATGATTCTCTAATATACTTACCCAGATATTTTTCATATTTACCCTTTGATGTGCTAAGAATTATTCATTTAAAAAAAAAACAAAAAACCAAAAAAATATTTGACAAGACTAAACTTTGCAGCAAAGATGCATGAAATGGCACGTGTAAAGTCGGTGTTTGTCAGCATGGTAACATGACACAGAGCAGACTCTGTGCTCCTTCTGTTATTTGCTTCAAGAAGAGGTAATTTTATCCCGTGTTGAAGTGCTATGGATTTAAACCAACTCCTGGTCACTGTAGGAATGTTCTCAGAGTAATCAGAGCGGAGCCATCATAAAACCACCCATCTTCTCCACTGCCTTTCTCCAGCCGTTCTGCAAACCTGGACTTGTCAGCCGGGCACTAGGTCAAAGGCAGGGGGCAGGGAGCACCACCTCACTGCCAGCTTCTGCATTCCTGAAACCTCCTGCTGCCTACACAGACCCTTAACAGCTTCTGTGTTTTCTCTTGTCCATTTCTTTAGTGCACTTTCTTTAGTTCTGCATTTCATAACAAAGCATGAATAAAAATAATCAAACACTCGTTATGGCTCAGGATGAGATTGCTTCATTAGAGTGCTACAGAACCACAAGTTAAACTTTTGTTTTCCACAAAATAAAATTTTCAGCTCACATAGTAACAGACCATGATTCAAAATACAAACTTTAAGTCTATTTGCACTAAATCCAGGATTCTTGTTTGCCTGCTCCTGGTTTAACTGTTTTATTAATGGTATAAAATAATTAGAAAGTCACTTACATTTAAAGTGAGCATTGTGGCGCTAGTATTCTTTGAAGGCCCATTATTTGAAAACGGCAGCCTGCAGTTACATTCTGAGGATAGGATACTGAGATGGAGATATGACCTGGTACTTCTGCTGTTCTATAATGTCTAGGCACTGGGCAACCACCTGATTAAAACACAAGAAAATGAGTATAAACAATGAGCAATAAAATCTACTAATGTGTGCACTCATTCAATAATGGTTTTGTTCTTACTTTCTGCAAAACAACGAATATTGGTAATAAATAGTTGCCAGCTGTACAGTTAGGGGAATTGGCCATCAGAGCAACGGAACCCTGGCGAAGGGGAGACACCAAAGAAGAAACATCCACAGGCTGCCACAATGCAGCTATTGCACCCAGCAGCCATGGCAGGAAGCTAAACTATTTTAAAGCCACTGTGATGACAGCAGGACTATTTTTGGAACACAGAGAGCTATTTTACCCTAAACTTTCCATCAAAATATAAAATAGGATAATCCTGTTCCACAGTTACATAGCTATGCTTCTATGATCTCCTATCACATATGAAAGATCATCCAAACAGGCTGCTCTTCCCTTTATAAGACTTGTTCTGAGAAGACAGACACTTTTCTCGGTCCCATGTGGCAGTGGCAAAGACTGAAACTACACAACATAGTTTTCAGTGTTAAAGAGTTAAAAATGCAAACGTGAACTGCGTGGGCTGGTGAAAAATACCTGAGTAACAAGAACTCGTTTTGATTGGCATACATTTACTTTTCAAGTACAGTTTCCAAAGAGATTCTGTGAACTCTTTAAAACTTGAAAATTCTTCTCCATCTTCTCCTATTAGCAAAATTCCCACAAGCTCTACTAAAATATTTAACAGGTACATATGTGCCGTATTTAGGTACCTATTTAGGATTAGCTGAAAGCAGCAGGTATTTATGATTTTTAAATAAACAAGTTTTAAATAAACAAGTTTAAATAAACAAGTGCAAAGAACGTTTTAATTATTGCTAATAAATAACAGAGCAAGACAAGACAGAAGAGCAAAGGTGGCGATTACAGGAAAGGCCCAGTGGAGAGGCTGCCTGCTGACTGAAAAACGGGGAGCACTCCAAGGATAAGAAGCAAACTGGTTGCAGGGAGAAGTTGCAAAAAGAAACATCCTTATAAGAAAAGAATGGGAACAGTGCAAGTAGTGAAGAGCCTGAACTTAAAAGGACAGAGATAGAGGTAATTAGGCGAGACAGAAATTAAGATTCTGAAACAAACTGGAAAGTCAATTAAGGGGTTTAAGAGGAAATGCTGTAGTGAAGTAAGCAGAATGAAAAAGAAATTCAACTGAACTTTTGGACAACTTAATGCAGAAAAGGAAAGATGAGAATTGAAAATCTAGGTGTCAGGGAAATGGAGTGAGAACTGGGGGACCTGGTTCTGGGAATCAGCATGCTGGCTGACCTCGAGCAAGCCACAGGCTTACACACTCACTGCAAGATCTTTTGGAGAACTGAGGATAAAATGTGCTATAAAAATCTATACAGAAAAAGACCTACCTTTCTAGTATTTTGAGGTAGAACTACACCATCATCCCAGAGCCTGGCAGAGGAGTAAAATGCACTGCTTTCTTCCTCTAGCCTGCAGAAGATGGAGTTTTAAATAAGTTTAAAGGTGCAAATCTGTAACAAAAAGAGGTCAGGCCAGTAGAACAAAATCAGGGATGAATTTCAGCTTCAAATGAATGCATGGCACTACTATTAAAATTAGTTTGGGATACAGGAACAGAAGATCAGATCAGATCTGATCCCCACGCATTTCAGCCATTCTGCCATAGAGCAGACACTCTATATGCTCAGCATAGCAGCTTCGTTTGAAGTTATGTGATTCGGGTGTTTGCTTGTTTGTTTAACTAAACAACATTCGGACTGCCCTGAGAAGAACCTCACAGGGGCAGATAATACATGGCATTTTTAAAATATTTTCAGTAGATTCAGGTTTGCCTTAGCCGTTTACAATCTGAAATATGAACAAAGGTAAGCACTTTAAATCAGTTAATCTCAGTGTTAGTGTAGGGATTTATTACTCAATGTCCTTACTTTTTTTTTAGATGGTTTAGTTCCAACCCATCTCCTTCATAGTAATTTTCTTCAGATTTTGGCATTGTGAAGAAGTGTCTTGAATCCACAAGAGCCACTCTTGCATTAGGCCACAAGAACAAGAAGTTTGGACTGAACGATCTCCCACACTATAAGAAAAATGCACAGGACAAAATCACTGAATTTAGTCACAAGAAGAACTATAGGATGTGCCATAGGGGATACATTCACGTTCAAAACAGGAAGGAATCCAGTGTAAGACACAAAGGAATAATGATAAAGCTAATTTGTCATTACAGATACAGAATCTGTATCAATACAGACCCCGTTCCGTAGTGAACACTGCAATCACTGTTGCCTTCAGTATCAGCATTTTATTATTCATTTGTCCTTCAAGCATTCACCTGTTTACTTCTCAGCAAACAAACAGCCCTCTCACTCACTACATGCGCTGGTCACATTGCTGTAACACAGCCAGAGTCCATGCATGGTCCCTGAGCACTGTGCACAAGTAGTACATGCCGAGACCAAGGCAGGACTGGGTTCTTGGTAGAAACAATCTCAAATAACCTGGCGCTTAGAACTCGCTCTAGGCTCCTAGTTGGGGACCAAACTCTTTGTAATCACAGTTTCTGATGTACTTCTACTTGGTAAAGTATAAAAAGTCAATTAACAAACACATTAACCCTTATACTGCCATACCATAACATAACTTTCACTCCCATAACATCCACCAATCACAATGGTTATTTTGGGGACAGCAGCACAAGCCACAGCAGACATCATGGAGGCCTGAGCTTTTAATTTGTTGGTGTGAGCTTCTGCCTGAAATTAAAATAAAAATATTAGTTCTTCTTTCTGGATGCCTTCTTCCACCACCAAACATGCAAAGTGTCTTTAACATTTATTTTTCACAATTCTGTATAATTACTTCTCCCAAGAGGAAGATAGAAGCATTAAACTAAGTATCTCAACCCATTACGCTATTCATTTTACAATGTAAATCAACAAAACAATTATAACCAGCACGCATACCCCAGCCCTGTTCTGCTGTGTTGAGCTCTCCTGGATGTTAGTGCAGCTCTGAGGCAGTGCATCCCACCAGGCTGGGGGGAACAGGCTGCAGGCTCAGCCTCGGCTCAGAGGACCCAGCCTTACTTGTCCCCTTACTGTGACACCCCTGGAACCCTGGACCAAACACACTGTACCTCAGTGCCTTTGCTTTCAGAAAAGGGAAATACCTGTTTTCTGTGGCACAGAATGGCATAAGAACACCTGAGAGGCTCTACTTCAATGCAGAAAGCTCTAAGAACCCCAAATTTTTACATGCTCATATTGCAAGCTGAGCACTACTATTTCAGATGAGCCTACAGAAATCATTAGAAGTGGAATAAAGTGAGAATATTAAAGGGAAGATTTAAGAATAAAGGAATTATGAGGCTGTTCACTTTAACCGGTAAGAGCAAATTAAGAAAATTAATTTTCCTAATAATTAGTTACTTTCAAAACGAAATCTTAGTCAGAACAAGAGCCAGGTAATGCTTGACCTAAGCACACTGACCCGGAGATGCCATACCTGCGGAATGTTTGTTGGCTCTGCTGCATGTGGGGCAGTGTTTTGGAAAAAGAGGATGGGAATCCCCCGCTGACTGCACAGCTGCACGAAATGGCTGCCCTTGAGGGCAGCATCATGAGAAAGCTCCCCATTGCTAGCCACTATCCCCACCAAGTGCCTGCAAGACACACACGTGAGTGCTCGCACTTCGAGCCCCAGAGATTATGGAAATGTAGTTCCTTATGATTTAAAGAAGGGAAATGTAAATAGCCATACACACAAACCTGTCCTGCTTAATAAATTTAAAATAGATGCCCTTAAAAATCTCATTGCATTTAAGGAAGCTCTTGTACATAACCAAGAAGAAGCCTCACAGCTCTCCCCAGACACAAAGCATAGCAGTATTAGCATGGACTGTCACCCCAAGGCCAGGTAAAGGTACAGGCAACCTGCTGTAGGTTACTCTGCAGGACAATGTACAAGGTACCAGGATTCTGCACTCTCATTACTGTAACATACAGTAGAACACTTAAATTGCAATGTTGATATTTTCAACATAGAAAGAGGCTCAAAGGAAATAATCCGTCTTACCACTGCTTTTGTAAGATTTGACTGGAATGTTATATGCTCTATGAATGTGTTAATGATATAGATAATAATTATGTCAGGTAACGTGATCAGATGGGAGACAGGATAATGGGAGCTTTCAACTCAGGTTGAGATAGAACACTTTTAAAGATGCAGCCTGTTATTTCTTAAGGAATCTGCTGAAACTTCAATGTTCCAACTGCTCAGATTGTAACTTGAGTGAACAAAAGAATAATTTCACAAACCCATGAAAACCATCTATTTGAAATCACTCTGCCACTATCAGCCTGAGACAAGACAAAACTCAGAGCTCTCATATGTAGTATTTCTGGTATTTCGAAATATATTACTACCTATCTTGACCCAATCAGAATTCCATAAATATTGTTACTGGAATACTGTAAGAGCTAATGATGATATGAAAACTTTCTAGAAAAGTATGTCTGTGTATTATTATAATGATATCTTATAACCTCACCCTTCTACATGGCCAAACCCAGTAACTAATGTTGTTCCATAATCAGCCTTGAATTCCTGGAATCTGCTTCCATCCATCAGACGACTCAGAATCTGCAAAGAAACATATATTCTTTCCTACAGAAACCAAAATGAAAATAGGACAGTTCTGCTAAAGGATACATTCTGCTCAAGCAGTAAGGAGACCTGCATTACACAAGAAGCCAGACTAAATGGTCCTAGTGGTCACTTGATGTCTTGCTCTACTTAAACACAAACTTGTTTTGTATGGGTTTTTTTATTATTTTTTATGTTTGACCACTGCTGAAGCATTTTGAGCCAAATTTTGACTCCAAAATTATTTTGACATCACAGGGCACAGATGTCCATGGGCACAAAAACCTTACAAAAGAAAACAAACAAACAAACAAACAAACCAGCATAAGCAGGTACAGTTTGTGTGCCTAAAAACTTCACAGCCTCATACTGCTCATGCTATTTTCAAACATAAAAACTAGATAGAGCAGACTGGAAGAATGAAGGAACGCAGTAACTGTCAACTTACCAATTTCACAGGAAGAGTATAGTTATAACTCTGCGGTGCCAGCCCCAAGAGCTCATCAGAACTGTACAGAGGACTATCGTACTCTATGATCTCCTCTGGCAGGGGCTCATAATTTAATGTTGAGATAATATTTCGAACGCATTCATAGGCTTCCTTTTCTGAAGATGCAAAATGGTCACTACAGCCACTAACTCTAGAAGGGAAAGCAACATTTATTAGTATTAAATGAATGAAAACTGAATACTGAATTAAAATCAAAACTAAAGGAAAATAAAGATTCATCGGCACTGTGAACCTCTGAACTGCCTGAAAACACGGTGCATTTTTATTCTTTTGCATGGCTGAGCTGAAACGAGCAAGTAAAATTTCTGTGCAATCCAAACAAAAATGCCCAGTAGGAGGGAGAGAATTTCTTCCCTATGACTTTTTTTAAAAACTTTTATTAACGAAAGACCTTTTATATATATATTTTAGGATGATGTTGTTACAAACGATACTTTGAAAAAATTTTTAATATTATTTTACAAAAGTAGCACTTCCAGACTGATTATAAAAAAAATGAGTTGTTATTTGTATCAGGGTTAGCTGACTGTGACACTAATATTTGCTTTCATGAGACTTGATAAGAAAGGTATGGAATCCAGGTTTCATTCACAAATTCTACAATACCAAGAACAAGGAAACAAAGCAAACAGAAAAGGGTCTTTCCCCTATCTAGAATGGAATATAATCATTTTGACAACTACAGTAACTGCCAACATAGAAAAACAATGTTCAAGAAATGTTTAGATAGCTCCTATTAACAGGTTCCTCTCCTGCTTGCTAGGAAGCCCTCAGTAACAGCAGAGGCAGGGAGGTTTTGCTTTTTTAATTCTTTGCTTTTACAAGCATTAGAGCTTTTGCAAAGAGTTCTCTAGTGTCTGAAGAGGCACATTAAAGAAAAGAAGTCATGCTATCTCTTCAAGCACCAGATTCAGGAGGAAAGAGAATTTCTTTTAGGTTTCCCATTATCAGAGTATCTGAATACTCATTTAATATTAGTATTCTGCCCATGTTTCCATTGAAAAAGATATCGTATCACTCCTACAAGTGACCCTTTCGAGGCAGAGAGGAATTGATTTGCCTAAAGTTGTTTGGTAAGTATGTGGAGGAGTGGGGGACCAAATCCAGACTCGCCCAGTCCAGCTTAAAGCTCTAATATCACTTGATTTTTCTTCCATTCGGCTGGTAGAACAAAAAACAGTAACTGAGAAGGAACTGAGAAGACAGTGTAATGACAGGTTCCATTTTTGGCCCTGGTCTTCCCCTCTATATTTATCGGAGATTTCTATCAGTTAAGTATGTAACAGCTGAGAACTTTTTTTCCAAAACAGAAGTGGAAAGTTGGTTGGAACAGTAGTAAAGCAGAAATTAGGATGCTATCTTACCGTGCTCATTTGGGAGGCTTTTATCTAATCCCATGATTCTCCCACGTACTTAGCTGAATGTCACCAACCTTTATAATAATTCATATATCATTTCTACCATTTTTTCACAACATGCTTCCCAGTCTTTGAGGTGCATACTGTGTTCTACTAGCAGAGGCATCAAAAACAGCTGCAGTTAAATTAATTTATGATAGAATGACAGCCTCTTTGGAGGTAGTGAGCTGTGCTCTCTTCTACTTTACAGAATCATTTCACCTACTTAGAGTGAAGCTTGGCTCCTCCTAAGTCCTCAGGGGAGACATCTTCTCCTGTAGCAGCTTTCACCAGCGGCGGGCCAGCCAGGAACAGGGTACCAATTTTATCTATAATCACAGCTTCTTCTGCCATGGTTGGCACATAGGCACCCCCAGCTACACAGGAGCCACACACTACTGCCACCTAAAGGACACAGAAAACAAAACCAAGCATGATACTGGTGAGAGAGAATGTTAAAACAAAGCCATGACATTTATTTCAGAGACATTAAAAGCCTCAGATAACCAGGGACTAAAGACATGCGTACAGTCACGCACATCACCACTGGTTTGGACATCACACAGAGCTCAGTGAAGTTTACTCAAAAATCACCTAACAATTCCACGTTCCCTTCATTAAGATCACTTGGCAAGCACGGAGAGGGTCCTTAAGGCCCAAGTACCATCATTCTATTATGCAAGATACCATCTGAATCTCTCTTCCCACACAAACAGAAAAGGTGAGCGCTAAGAGATCTTTTTGCCTGTTTGGGAGCTGGTCCTAGAATCTGTATTAAGAGGACTCTTCCCGAACTCCATTAATCACCTACATACATTTCTATGTATGCAAATGCACTGTACCTGAGGGATTTTCATGGCAGCCATTATTGCTTCATTGTAGAAAAGTCGGCCACCGTGGGACTTGTCAGGAAACAGCTCGGACTGCCATGACACAGAACAGACAACGTGAGTTTGGAGATGAGCTACAGACCCCACAGCTTCGTCTTTGCTTCATTCATTCACAAGCCACTGATCCTCAGAAGGATCCACCAACAATCACAGACGGTAACGTCCACATACATTCTCTACTATATTTATTCCTCTCAAAAATTGCTCAATTCCCTCGAAATATTCACAGCCATCTGCATGACAAAAAATAAGTTTCACGGCTTTGTGAAGCCAATTTATTCTACATAGGCAAAAACTGTAAATATGGGGTGAGGAAGCTCATGCTCATTCTGTGCCTGTGAAACAACTTCAACACAGTTTTCCTTTTTATTTAGTTTTCTAAAATTCCATATTCAGGCAAGAACTTTTCCTGCAGGAGTGCTTTCAGCCTGGACATGGAACAACTCTCGTCACTGTAATGACATGACCTTTGTACCTCACGGAGCAACCTGTGTAAGGCCTGTTGTTACAGTAAGTATTTAAAAAATGTCCTTTTAAAGACATGGAGGTTTATGCATTACTATTGCAGACCTTACAACAAAATAATTTGAAATATTCTGAAGTAAAAAATTGAAACTCTAAACAACATTTTAATTTATTAAAGACACCAAAGCCCTTTGGTGCACTGAGGAATGCGTATGACTTGCTTGCTCAGCCCTTTGGCCCCACACTGATACTGAAGTTTCTAAACTTTGATCGGAAGCTAGATGCAAGGCTGGCCAGGGTGAATGCCACTGTTATGTATGTTCAAATCATCTCCCAAGCACCTATTGTGAGCAAAGTTTGATTTAACAGATCATGAGTGTCATCCAGATAACAGATAACAAAAGATATTTCAGACCTATTTCTAGAAATGAACATGACTAAGATAAAACCTTTCCTCTGTGAATTTGTTGCAGTATTACCTGTAATGGCAGGGGTGCGACCCCCCTGTAAGACAGACAGAAGTCTGTTCTGCATGGCTATTTCCTGAGCTCTTAGTTGTTTCTTTACTCCGATTGGATAAATAGTTCCTCCTTTTACAGTTGCATCATTTGCGATGAAGACACACCAGATCCCACAGATTTTTCCAATTCCTATAAACAGTACCATGGTTATTTATGAGGACTCTCTAGAAAAACATGGGGGCCAGGCTGTAGCTAGAATGTTCTTTTGGTGATAGTATGCCAGTAAAACAGAACTTGATATACTACTACTTTACTATTGGTGACAATGCAGCAGAAAAAGAGTAATATAATCTGATTTCTCACTCTTGAGACGAGTTTACAGGGACGGCTACAAAAACACTGATATAAAACTGAAAAATGTAGCAATCTGTGACAAAAGAAACATAGGACCACCTGATCCTATTCTTCCAGGTGCTTTTTTCGGCTGGAAATGCTCTTCAGAATAAAATGAAGTAAGAGATTGGTCTATAATTTGAAATCTGTTACAAAACAAATGTCATTGTATTTGGGTCACACAGAAACTTGGTCCCCTCCTGCATTCAACAGTTATCAGTTATTCTGAATTTGTTGAAACATAGACTGGTAACTGCGAAGTCGAATAAATTACTAAATTTCATAAAAAAAAAGAAAACAACTTTTCTTTTTTGAAAGTCTTGCCTAGATTCCTTAAAATAGATAATGGAATGGCTGAACTGTTTCCTTCTGGTAATTACTACTGGAAAGAACTGATGTTCACTTTTCCTAGGAAACACATGATTGTGACACTAAAATATTCCATGAACCTGTACATCTGTACAATCACCTTAACTGCGATGAGCAAGACTGCTTATGAAGGTCTGCAGCGCACGGGCTGCAGCTCACGTGCACTGCCTGCCTTCACCCGCCCTCAGTGCACAGGCAGCTCACAGCAGAATGGGGAAGAACGGCTTTTTGGACACTGCTAAGAGTAACCAAGAGTAACGGGGCACTTCAGCTCATCCTCCAAGGATGCCTGCGTGTCTGTGCACCTGAGCAGCTCCCCTCTGATTTCCTTATGGGCTGCAGCAGTTCAGACCCTTTCCTCCAGTCAGCACCTCCGACCTAGGTGAACAATCCCTTCAAAAAAAAAAAACATCTCTGTCTTTAGCTCTAGCACAAATCTTACTTAACAATTGACAAGCAATTAAATAAACTTCATTCGTCTCCTGCTACATCCAATATTAAATTTCCTAACAATTACCAGTGAGGCATCCAGCAGCAGGGACATCACCATATGGCATATTGAGGCCTGCAAGAGGAGACAGCTCCAGGAAAGACTCATCATCAAGAAGCATTTTCAGGCGTTCGCGAACAAACAGCTTCTTGTTTCGCTGGGTATGGCGCAAGATGGCATTTTCTCCTCCTCCTTTACTGACCATCTCCAGCAATTCTGAATACCTGTTTTAAAAGCAAAGCTTCGGTTAATGAAGATAAGCTTTACTTACAATTCGCTTTTAACCATGTCACACTACTTAAATGCACTGCACAGCTTACACACCAGCAGTACAAGAGCAAGAGAAAATGGATTTTTGGATTTTGGATTACTGTTTCTGAAAGGATCTTTTTACTACAGTTAACTACTGTGTAACAGACTACAGCATTCAAAGGCACATTTCTTCCTCACAAAGTGAAACAAAAGGCAGAGGTACATTACCTACTTAAAGCAAATATTTTTCATTATTCAGAAGTTACATTTTTGAGCGTAATAAAGGCAAAGAGTGTGAAATAATATATCCTCCCTATTCAATCATCCTCCCTGGGTGTTCCTGGTAAAAACCCAACATACAGTATTTTACAACATGTGATCATTTTTACTCTTTGTTGGCAACTCAGTAGAGTACTGAGAACAGGCTGACAACCAAAGTTGAGGACCTGACTTTGAGGGATACTGCAAATCTATGGGTTGGGGCTGTCACTGTAGGGCAAATATTAATAAGGCTGTCGTAATTTGTGACTCCTAATTCAGCACAAACGTTTACCTCTATGTTCCAACCACTCAGTGGTTTCCTCCTAGGCTCTCCCTCAGCAAGAGCTGAACAGTTTATCTGACAGGCCTAAAGAGTGTTCTGCACCATGGCAGCCCTACATTAAATGTAGTGAATAGTGCAGTGTCAGTATAATCACCCACAGAAAAGCTCACTACCAGATGTAACCAACTGGGCAGCATAAAGGGAAAATAACAAACAGAATAAACTGTAAACAAACGTGGTCCTTAAAAAAAATGTTTTTAACGAATCAGGATGTTCATTTAAAGTATTTATTTTTCACCAAGAGGCATCATCTTTACCTAAAATTATTGTTTGACATAATAATTTACCAGCTACTCTGCACATAATTCCATTAGCTGCATTGTGGCTTCCTGTAGACTGCAGAGGTTGCAAAAGCTCAGGATAAAAAGACACAAATTTTTAATAATGCTGTAAATGCCACCACAGGAGGGCACAGTGTGTTTTCCCTAGCTTTGCTTCCAGCTCATGTAGCTTTCCTCTGCACAAAGGCCTTTGAGTATTTGTCATCTGCTCCTTAAGGACAGATACATAAAATACGTTTTCCTGCTTTTGCCTGTGAATCACGACAAATTGCAATAACTGTCACCTACTCTTTCAGGAGAGATCTGGGGATGCATGAGTCACCATTTACGTCTTTGCATTCAAAATTAGACATAAGGCAATTTTTATGAAGGTCTAAAAATATACTCCTTCGCAATATATGCAAAACAATGTCATATGGCGATATTTTAAATGCAGTCAGCACCTAAGTTTAGGCATTTTGAGTAACAATTATGCACCTGTTTTGGCAGATGTAAATTTTTCAAGTGCTGACCCTTGTGAAGTGTGCTCTGCAGCGAGGATGTCCAGGGAAACAGCAGAAAGGAGCTGCTATTTTAAGTTTTAAAGAGGTTGAGAAAAAAAAAATTAATCTCTGGATTTTTTTAAAGACTGAACTTCCTAAGCTAAGAAATATTTAAAGCGTCTAGAAGTAATACCAACTTAGATATATTTAAAAAAATACAAAAGCCATTTTTACCTTTGAATAACAGCCTTACTGTTCCTGAAATTTTCTTCAAACACGTGTTGATACACGGTTGGGATACGTCCATGTAAAACGGGGTATGTTTTTGCATGGCGCCCATGCTGTGCTTTATTACTTACTAAGCGCCGGGGGGGCACCCTGCACGTCCCTTGCGCAGCGGGGCAGCACCGATGCTGCGGGACCTGCGCTGCTGGCGCGTCCTGGCACAGGGACCTGGACTTTCTCCGGAATGCATGATGGAAAGCTCGGAATCTCGAAGGCAGCAAAGAGCGGGAGCAGGGGGAGCACTTGCAAAGTGCGCGCAGGGTGAGATTGCTCCACATGGCCCTAAGAACGAAAGGGAGGAGAATCAGTGTTCGCTTCAAAAGTAAAGCTAGATTTTCTACGTCGGGAAAAGCTAAGTGATAGGACAAACGTTGACCCCTGGACGGCTGAAATTAGCTCCATTCCACTACCGTTAATGGCATTACGGGCATTCTCGGCCTGCAGAGCAGCGTCTCGGTTAAACGCGAGCCCTGACGCGGGCCAGCCCAGGTCCGAGCTCCGGGCGGGTCTAAGGCCCTCGGGGCCCTGCTCGGAGGGCGCCTTCCAGGCCGCTCCCCGGGCAGCGCAGGGCCCGCCGCGCCGCTGCCCCACGGCCTGCGCCCGGCTGGTT